CTCATTTATGGAATTAGTTTTTGTCTGTTAATTAGAGCCTGGTTATTATCTTTGAAGTTTTGAATCCTCTAATTAAAGTGTTTTTCTCGTTAAAATGTGCTGCAGACACAGAAGACGCTTTAAAACCAACTGTACTGAGCTTGATATTGTCTGTTAGCTGTGATTTGGTGGGAAACAATTCAGCATTGACACACAAAACTACTAAATGTGCATTACATTTATTTTTTTAAGCTGCAGGATTTAACTGTTTCTATAAAACGTCCTGAAACTTGAGAACAATCTGGAACACTGATGGAACTCAGCCTGTTTCTGCTTTTCTCGCCGTTAGCAGCAGGCTAGCTCCACCGACTAGTTCCACCGTTATGAAGCTAGCAGCACGGTTAGCGAGCAGGCTAAACGGCTGGTTAACGGGTCGGTTAACTGGCTGTGCGGCTAACTGAGCTGCTGGTTAGTTAACTAGTCTCTAAGTGACGGAGAAGTGAGCTGCTGCTGAAGCGAAACAGAAACGTCCGTTCAGCAGCTCCACCGGCGGCTAGTTTAGGCTGCTTAGTTAGCTGGTTAGCGGCCTGACACCGCGGGGTAGCTCCCCCCGGTGAGACCCCGGGTCGGTGCAGCTCTCCGCCACCGGTTACCGCCGCTGTCAACCGCTGAACGCGACCGTTACCGGAGGAAACGGAGCCGCTGCGCTCACCTGTCTGCTTCTCCCGGACAGACGCCGCCATGTTGGATGTTGTTGGTGGTGACGGAGCGGCTGATGACGTGGCAACAGGCGACGTCGGCTCAGCGTCAGAGAGGGGCTGAGTACGAAGACGTCTCACTCCGGCAGCGTCTCCCGGAGACCAACCAGAGAACCCGCCAAAGAGGAATGAATTATGAAGAGGTCTCACTCCGCCGCTGTTTTAAGCGACCAAAAGCAGAGGGGATTTTTGCACTTACAGTCTCTTCAATCAAAACTTTGTCTGTGCCGTGTGGAATCATGTTCCCAAACAGCTGTGGCCAACCTTTTTCTTGACCCGTCTCGCAAATAAAATCAAGGAATCTCTGTCTGTTCTTCACTGTTCTCGACAGCCTTACCTCCGGTTTACTTCAAACTTGTCAGACGTGTCGCTGTGGACTGGATGAATCGCAGCGTCGAGTTTGAAGGATCAGCGGTCCTCAAGACACATAAAGAGTAAACACTGGACAGCAGGTGGTGGCAACCAAGGCTTCAGGAGAAGCTTGAAAAACAAACCATCTGCAGAACTCGCTGAAGAACTGGTGAAGGCCGAGTTTACTCAGAGACTGGGTCAAGTTAGAAGGAAAACCTGAGTGAGATAATTCAGCCCTGCTCATACAGGACTACTACTGCCTGAGGAAGTTACCCCCATGTTTGTATTCTGTGTGGTGCGTGTGACACAGGATGAGCAACGTTTAAAGCAAATGTACTGACATTATCTGTAGATGTGATATTAATAAACTTCCTCATTGGAACAGTTGAGCCGTTTCCGTTCTGAATGTCATCCATCTCATCAATCTTTGAGCTCTCTGTGAATTCTCTTTAGAAACCTCAACAGAATTCTCCTGAATTTGCACCAAAAATTCTCCAAAACCTTCATTTCTAACCATCAGCGCAGCCTCTGTGATCCAGGAGGAGGCCGAAGAAAGATGCAGAGAAAACTAAAAACTAAAACATTTGAAATGGCCCCAGATACTATCACAGGACGTCTGGTGTTTGGTGACACACGGTTAGTATTTTGCAGTGGAATTTTTAAGATCAGACGACCTCCATCGTTACTACAGATGATCAGACGTCTCCGGATAATACTGATCTTGTGTGAAGATGACTGTAGATAATTAAGGATCTTTTGAGAACAGAGACAAACACTTCATCAGAGTTCCTTCTTCTGAGCACCTGACTTGGAAAAAATTGTGAGTTTATCCTTTAAGTCTGTTGCAGCACACTGGATTTAGCACTTCATCAAAATGATAACTGACAAAGCAAGGGACACTTTATATGAGGAAAACAAGGACAAAGAGCATAAATAAAAATTAATAATGAATCTGAAGACTTCATAACAGACTTCAAGCTTTTTTTTAAATCCAGTATCCATCCGGCTCTACGTTTCACCGATGAAACAACATCTTCTGCTCAACTAATCAGCAACGACACAGTGACACCTCGCAGATGTGTATAAAATCTGATATTGGATTCATAATTTGTTCATTTTCAAAAATGTTGTAAAAACAAAACAAAAATATGACAAACAGGAGCAACCAAAAGCTTAAGGAACAAACTGTACAATAAAACAGGACTGAACTAATGAACTAAGTTATAAAACTAGCAGTTTACATACAAGACTTCAAAAAGGAAACTTAAGACATTTTAATGCTTTACGGTTGAATTTAAAGGAAACCAGGTTCATGGAAACACAGCAAAGCGATATGCAGAGAATCTTCTTTCACCGTGTATTTATGTCATGTGGTACCATCACTTAGTTAATCTAATTGTTGTAACGTTTGCTGATGTTTGCAGCCACAGATGTTTCATTCTTCAATAGATGGTAAGCTAATGATGTTAATAATTATCTGCCATCAATAACATAACTGGTTAAAAATAGAAAAAGGCAGAAGAAGGACATGGATGTCAGAAAATGTATCATAGACCAGCTGCAGTACCTGGTTGTTCCAGCAGGTGGAGCCTCTACCTGTTTAATCCTGTAGAGATCAGAGGAGGCTTACCTCAGACTACAGCTCATGGTGGCAGCAGAGAGCATTGTGGGAGTTTAGCAGCAATGGGACCATGACAGAGACTCTGAGGAGGTTCATGACCTCCAACCAGAGATTACATGTTCAAGGTAAACCAGAGTCCTCTAGGATAATGTTTCTGTAGCTGCACGATCAACGTAACCCCGCCGCTATTACGGCAGATCAACAATAATTATAGGATAGGATTAGGATTTCACTATGTGGAAGATATTACCTGTATTTCATTATTTGACAACTGGATTACTGATTGATAAATCTACCAACTACACGACATTATCAACTCAGTGACGTCTCCATGTTGCTTGGTGGCACTGTTTTTGCAATTAACTGACAAAATTTCCACTTAAACAGAAAGTATTTTGTCTAAACAACTCGCAATCACAAGCTTACGAGATCCACTGAAAGCAGCAAATATATGCAACAGCAAATAAGTAAAAGCATACGTCCCCTTTGAGTAGCTTCAAACTCACACAGATAAAATGGAAACACTGACATCAATCACTGAATTCAATTCACAACAACAGCTAATGCAACGTAAAGGACATAAAAAAGGACAGACGATGGACAAGTTAATGTTGAGTTTTGGTATTTGTATATATGGTCTTATATATAAAGAGCTGCTGCTTTAAAAAGAAACTCCATGATTTAAATGCAACCATGATCAAACAGTCGAGCTCAAACCATTCAGATCATCAGAAAGACACGAACATCGAACTTTGGGAAACCCAAATGGAAATTCTTCAACTATTTTCAAACTTTCATAAACTAAATAGTAATAAAAAACACTGAGTTAGAGTCACTGAGCGTCATCTGCAGGTCAGAACCAGCATGACGGAGGAGGTCCTCTCTGGATCAGCTGTCGGTGGGCAGCAGCAGGTGGACTCGGTGGCTCACCGCTTGCTCCAGGGAGCTCTTGAAGGCCTGGTAGGACGAGCTGACAGGCAGCAGCAGGTGTTTGGACTGCAGGTCGCTCTGAGGGAAGAGCCCCTCGTCCCTCCAGCCCTCCTCCTCGAGCCCTGGTGGGTGGAGGAAGGAGATGGAGGGAGCAGGGAGGAGGCCGACCGCCGGCACCTCCTCCACGCCGGTGGAGAACTGAAGGAGGTCCTGCAGGGAGACGGAGCTCCGGCCAACTGAGGAACCGAGAGGAGTTTAGCGTCAGCACCAGGGTCAAGTTTAATAATAGCACATTAAAATAAAAAAAACATTCACATCAAAATAGTAAAAGTATTAATGATGTGCTCAGAAGTCTTGTTCTGTTTGTTGACATGATCTCAGTATTGTCTTCAGATGTAGTTCTTAAACGCCTTTTGACTAATTGTTTGTCACATGTTTACATTTTGAACACTTTTTAAGTTAAATTTTGAGACACTTTAGGACATTTTGGACAAATCTCAAATTATTTTGGACATTTTTAATCACGCGCATATTTTAAAAGCTACTTTTTTTGTAAGTTTCTCGTCTGTCTGTGTTCAACCTGAATACGTCAGCATCCCTCCACATCTTCAATGTCTAAACTCCAAACCTGTTCAGACCAGACTTAACATGAGTACAAAAACAACTGTATGTTTAAAACTGAGTCAAGACTCTAAACGGGACATGAAATTAGTAAAAAGGGTTATTTTCCCACATCTGTGCAGCCGTGTTGATTCATGCCGCGGCATCGTTTACTCCTGTGTCAACGGCGCCACACCAGCTTCATACTTGGTTGTGATGCTGTGTATGTACGCAGAACAAAGACTCTGCTGCCTTCTCGTTCAGATTAGTCTGCACAGGTTCTCCTGGAAAACGGACTCCGACCTCAGTGAGACAAGCAATTCAGATGAATCAGCAATTTAAATGAACCCGGATTACCTTCGCACTCGAGCAGGAAGTGTCTCCAGAAGGTGACGACGGCGGTTTCTCGGTTCAGTTTGTCGTCCTGCTCGGAGAAACTGACGGCGAAGAGTCGACCGACCGTCTGAGCTGTCAGATGATCTGCAGCTTCACAGAAAACAACGAAGAAGACCGACGGGAAGAGCTGGACCTGCAGCAGGTCACAGGTCAGAGTAAACAATCAGACTTTAATCAAACTCCCAAACAGGACACCCTGATGCAGACGATACTCTCATTTATTGCTCTGTCTACTTAATTGATATCATAAAGTTCTACTTAACTTTAAATTATGTCTTCAAATTATCACTAAAACCACTAAAACTGTAAGAACTTCTGAAAATAAGACAACTGAACATAAAAAGCAGAATCAGGCTTTATTTACTGAACACAATAAACCTATTATTATTTGTTTTGGCTATCAAATGCTCAGAAATAACAGGAAAATGCAGATTTCTGACAAATAAAAGAACACAGACTGATGGTGTTCACAGGAAACACTCTCAGGGAGAAAAGTAAACTTCAGTCACCTGATCAAAGACGCCCAAAGTCTGCAGACCTTCACGAAACCTGCAGGAAAACAAGCACAATGACATGAGAGGCGTTTAGGGACCATCTGGAAACGGCAGCGTCTGATAATAGGCAGGTGTTCATCCAGTGAAGAGTTTTAGGTTCAGTTTATTTATATTTACTCTTCAGGAAATGTTCTGAATTCAGCAGATTGTGGACTAGATGGACGTGAAAGCAGCACACTGTTTATTCAAATGTGAAAATATTCTGTTTCTAAAATCAATGAAGAATGCCAATATTGATCTAAATAATCGTGCAGTCATGTGTAACATCAATAAAAGATGTCTACAGTAGTAATAAAACTAATTTTCCTGGCAATAAGGTGACAGATTTGAAGCACTGGATGTATATTTAACACGTTTCCATCTATTAAACTTATTTTTACTGCAAATCAGGTTTGAAAAAGTGATCTTTGAGGATGGTCTTTATCTTATTATTGTTTATTGATCGATTAATGAACTCAAAGTGATTTTTCTCCTCAACAGCACATATTTATGGATGTAGTCGTACATCCAGCTCAGCGCTGTCTCCTGTCAGTCCATGGTATCGTCCAGCTTCTGTCTCACCTCTGCAGAGGCAGCTGCATCCTGGTGATCATGGTGAAATTCACCAGATCCTCCACCAGAGCTTCTCTCTCCTCCAGGCTGCTGATTGGTCGGTTGCAGCCGGCCATCTCCAGGAAGTCGCAGCTCGCCACCATCGCTTCTCTGAGCTCATCGAGCGACTCGGCCTCAGCGATCTGAAACAGGAAAACCAGGAGTTCAGACGACTGGATGTCTGCGGTTCCTGGCGGTTAATCGGCGAGTCTGTCTGCTCACCTGGCCGACTCGGCGGGTCAGTGGCGTGTTGGGGGTCATGTGACCGACGGTGAGCGGGCGGTGGGCCGGATGGTTGAACAGACACTGGTAGAGGGCCGGAGAGAAGAAGCCGACAGGTGGACCGCCGTGAACCAGAGACAGAGCCAGCAGGCAGCCGACGTCGAAGTACAGATCCTCACGCAGCGCTGCACGGAAACACACACGGCAGAAACACTCAGGGAGTAGACACGGTGATGTTTGAGGTGGTTATGATTATATCAGACAACCAATCAGACAGAAACAAATGAACAGATATATGACAGATAAATAGATTGATAAAGGCATTAATAACTATATAGAGAAAAAGAAAGACACATAAACAGATCAATAAAAAGACATAATTAATCAATCAGTCCGTATCAATAAGTTCTTGGTACCCTGGGAGTTCAGAGCCAGATTCTTGGCTCCATCTGGACCCTCGAATACCACACAGTCCTGGATCTGCTGCACCAGCAGCTTCAGGAAGTGCTGCCGGGCCGAGTCGTCGCCCTGTGGGCTGCTGGGAAACGCAGTCTGCTGCTCACCTGTGAACCTGGAACCACAAAGATGGCTGACAGGTGAGGAGGAGACGCAGGTGAGAAAAGACACACAGCAGAGTGAAGCGAGGCGTCCACTGACCTGACAGACAGAACCTGAGTCGGGTCGAACTCGCTCCTCCTGACCAGCTCCAGACCTGCGGACAGAACTTCCTCCCCACTCACCTCCACCTGCACGCTGAGGGGGCAGAGCTGAGGCAGCAGCGCCTGCAGCAGCTCCTCAGGGGAGCCGGCCTGCACAGGTAGAGAGGGTCTGACAAAGACGGACGGCGTTAACGAGTTTTAATTAACAAGAACCAAAACCAACACAAAAGGCTCAGAGCTTCTAGGACAGGTGTGTTAGATTTATGTACCTTTAACAGGTGACCAGGGACAGGTGTGTTAGATTTGTGTACCTTTTACAGCTGATGGGGGAGCAGATGGGGGACAGGTGGCGTTTGGACAGCAGACTCCTCCTCTGAACTCCCTGAGGAGACGCGACCAGAGAGGCTGCAGAAAACAAACACAGCAGGTTGTGGAGAGGACGAAGCAAAGCGACAGATAAGAGGTAAAACAGACTAAACCGTGGTGAAGGACTCGGACCTTTCCCATCGGTGGCCTGTGTGCACTCGCTGCAGGCCCAGTCTCTGGTGTCCACGTTCAGGTCCGAACATCTCCTGTGGGTTCCTGTGGATCCACACAGTCGGCAGCGAATCACTTCGAACCAGCTGGAAAACAAATCAGAACGTTGCTGCATTTCTGCGACATTCCCTCATCTCTGATAAGAGTTCAGAATAAAACTGGTTAATCAGCGTTTCATCAGCTGAACAGGTATTTTTACCAAACAGTCAGAAGTAACAGGAAAATGCAGATTTTTATCAGATAAGGGACACAGACTGGTTGTGTTAACTGCTGTGTGCAGTCAATCATAGAACATGTGAATGTGCAGTAACTCGTGGATGCGGCGGTGAATGTCGTACCCGCTCTTGGCAGAGTGAGTCGGTCCTTTCTCACAGAGGCAGCTGAGAGCGTCGCAGCGGGTGTAAACCTCCAGCAGCTCTGAGAAGGCGTTGGCCTCCAACTCCCATGAAGCATCTCTGCAGGAAGCACAGACGTCAGAGTGACAGTTTACAACTGAAAACATGACGTGAAGAAGCAGCTTCTGTCCAAGTTACTGTTATTTAAAACAACAGCCGCTGAGCCAAAAGGCTTTCTAGTGAAAACAAGAATAAAAATAAGTTTAAATATCAGGGTTGAAGCTCAACAGTGCTATTTATGGTGAGGCTTTACCTGAGTCAGTTACCTGAGAGGGATTTAAACCCCACAAAAATGACATAAATTACTACTTTAACACACAATTAGGCTGAGACTCAACAGTGTTATTAATTATAGAGATTAACTTGATAATTCAAATACTAAGGCTCAGACTCTATAGTATTACTAATTACAGAGATGGAGAGCTATGCAGATTAAACTAACCAATTTAGCTCTGACAAAAATATACATGAAAACCCCTGAAAGTCCAAGGATTCTCTGGATCTACTCTGAGACAATTTAGTTTTTATTTCATGTGTCAGTGTGGATAAACTGCTGGGAGGAAGCGCTGATCCAGACGCTGGCATTACCTCTCTGGGATGTAGATGCCCATCCTGAGCATCTCCTCCTGGAAGTGCTCCTTGCTGTTGCACAGAGTGCATCTGAAGAAGAAGAGTCCTGCACTGTGGGCCTGACGCTGACACACAAACACAGGAGTGAGAACACAACCAGGAGGCTGAGTGCAGCAACAGGTCACACCTCAAACACTCAGAAACAGGGCTGACCGTAGTCAGAAAACACATTCCTCCTGCAGAATACATCAACGTATACTCCTACGACACCGTCAGCCTGTTTTATTTCAGAATACGGACTGATCTCAGCTTCTCTCTTTGTTGTTGTTGTGAATCTCTTTGTGCTTATTCTGTACCAGTATTTACATGCCAACATTCAGTAAAGAGAAAACAGCCTTGTGTGTTGTTAAATTTAAAAATGAAACATCTTGTAGCTCTGCACCTCTAACAGGTGACCAGGGATCAGGTGTGTTAGATTTCTGTACTTTTAACAGGTGAGGGACAGGTGTGTTAGGTTTATGTACCTTTAACAGGTGACCAGGGACAGGTGTGTTAGATTTATGTACCTCTACCGGGTGAGGGACAGGTGTGTTAGATTTGTGTACCTTTACCAGGTGAGGGACAGGTATGTTAGACTTGTGTACCTTTACCAGGTGAGGGACAGGTA